AAATATTGGCCAGACAATAGACAATATCTGGCCAGAATTGGTGCTTGTCCAGTCAAATTTCCCTCAATGGTCACATTGACCCATAATGTTAAGCCAGAAATTAGGTATGAGCGAGCTAAAACTAATTTGGCCGATCATCATGACTGGCGACTTACCGACCATTTTTTAACCCCTGTTTAGTGTGAGTTTGATATATGTACATTTATTCCCAGTCCCTTGCTCAATTCCGGAAAGGTTTATTAAATAAATCATAGCAATCAGAGGCCAGTTAATGAGTAAAATGTATAATTTTATGTACTAGGCCATTTTTTAAGGTTTCATGCGCATCCAAATTTAAGGAACTTGACGGGCCACGACACCAGAACACGAGCTTTATGAGGAGTTTTATCATGCATTGCTATGACATTTTTTTCAAAAATAATTCATAAAATTGTTTATTCTCCTCTTTGAATATAGAAACCGATTTCTCAATTTCACTGAATTTTCGTTTTTCTGTGTTTTTYCCCCGTCAAGTTGGATGTGCACGCAACCACGAGAAAACTGTCTATTGCATTATGCTTAAAACATGGCCCTGTCATAGTTACTGTGTCCCTATATCGAAATAAAATCAAAATAGTTTCATAAACAAACAGCAGAAGGTTTCTTGGAACCATTTTAAATGTTGCTATTTGAATGAAACTTTGCATAATATACTAAGATTAGGTTATATAAACGTTCCAAATTGTGAATCAGGGTGTAGTTGAAAGTCTTATGATATCTCACTGTTTCTTGTCATGCATGTCAGGGCATCTGATAGAGGATGACGATGTTATTTTGTATAWTTGACTAAAAATCACCACTGAATTTACCAAATAAATAAAAAAAGGAGGAAGTATACAAGCTCAACACTTTGCATTACRCTTCCATTTTATATTATTTAGCAAAACCTAAACATTTGTATCATAATTACATTCAAGGATAGAAAAAATTGAATGAGTCAGTAGCACATCTAAGTAACTGAACTAGCATATGGCCCAGTCCAGGAATCAAACCTGGTGTAAGGCAAGACAATACCAGTTAATACAAGGTAACATAATTTTAACAAATCACATTTTCTGCATCACCATTAGATTCCCAGCTTGCATGGGGAAGCCGGTTTGTTACCATTTTGTTCACCAGTTTTAAATTAGAATAATTTATCTAATATCTATCCTTCACATTCTTTTTTTAATCAGCCCTGATGACAGTGAAGACTCAGAAGAGCCTACAAAAGAGGTATTATACAGTGTAACAATCGTTATCTGTAGTCTAGATATATTAACATTGACCTGAGAGTTCAGGCATGTTGTAAAAGGTTGGTAAAAATAAGTTACCATTTAAAGCGATTTTACTAATCTGAAAGTCTTGATTCCTCAATCATAATATTTAAATCTATAATTTTTTTAATGTTT